ATGGTGTCCTTGAATTTTATTTATGAAAAAGAAGAATTTCTATTTTTATTGCTATTGTTTATTCAATAAGAATTTGCTGCTCTTTCAGTATCAACACAGAAAATTGTATAGGCTTTTATTTTTATTTTTATGGATTGTTATGGTTCATTTGTAGTAAAATGTAGTTTCGTTACTATAGGACTACACAACTTATTAGTTATACACAAACTCATTTCTTTGCTATGTGTTGACAGTACCTGTATTTCAGGAACAAGTGGGAATTTTTTCAAGCAGAGTCGTGTAATATATAATCAAAACTGACTTCCTATTATGGATTCATTATGAGGAGGGATTTTATGTTGTCTGATCTTCCTGTGTGTCAATAACTTTTCTGGTTAATTTTTCCTTTCATGCACTTGGAATAGCTAATGCACATCCTATCTACATGCTTCTCAATGTTTGGTACACAGTGGACTCACCTGTGGGAGTCTTTTCACCTCATTAAAGCTCTCTAAGCACTTCCCACATATACTGAGCCAGGACTCCACGTGGGAACCAAGTCATCTCTGTTTTTCAAAAGCTCGGCAGCTGTTTCTGATATGCACTCTTGGTTGAAAGCAACTGTCAGAACTATTAATTTATTAGATTGGGATTGAGATCTCAAAAATTACTTCTTTTGTAGATCCTAAAACATATGAGATGTAGAAAGCCAGAGATTAAAGGAAATAGAACCATGGGAGACTTGAAGAAGACCACTCCTTTAGCATTAAGCAATAAAAGTAAGAACAAGAAGGTAGTAGACACTTCAATTTATGTCATCGGTTAGTCCCCATTGCAGCCAGCTGGTTTTCATTCCTTATTTAATAATTAACTTTTTAGATTAAACTGACAGTCCTCATTTGTATAAACTCTCAGCTTGTCGTAAGAATACATTAGTTCCTAGCATCTTAAAATCTTTGAAGTAATTATTTCAGTAGCCCCTTAATTAATTTTCAAACTAAAACAAGGTCCTGGATTATTTTTATTCCCCTTCTCATACACAGGACAAAAGAACCTTCCTGTCAAAAAGCTTACAGTCTCATGAAAAAGAGTGAACAGAAAATCTCTCTGTATTGTAATAGATCCTTTAATTATAACAAAGATGAAGAGGTTCTCACTAACTACTTTTCATGTATCTGCACAGAACTAAGTGCTGTAGGTATATTATCTTCTTTCTCACAACACTACATATGGAAACACCTTTTTTTTTTTTTACCCCTATTTTACAGATAAGGTAACTGAGGTTTACAAGTAATATAGAAGTTTCTATATTTGTAAACTTGTTGCAGAACATGGCTTCAAATTGGAAAGATAAGGAGAAGAAGTTATTAGTCCATGAGGAGCCTTGTTCCTATGCATTGAATGTGTGCACTGCTGGGTAAACTATCCAATAGACAGATTACTAATGTGGGAACGATTTCCCCTTCTTTCACTAATTTTTCATCATAAAGATGAAAAATTAGTGACAGAAGTTGTTTCTGCATCACAGTACTGCTATTAGAAGGTTTCCTCCCTACACGTCAGCCTCTATGATTCATTGTTGTCAAATATTCTGCTTTCATGAGTGAGCATGTTGGCAGTTTCTTGTGAAGGTTGCATGAGACAGAATTTCAGTTTCTAAAAAGCAAATGTTGTGGTTATCTTTGCAGTTGCTTCTTTTTCTGTGTTAACTAAGGCAAAGCAAATGCTTTAGGAGGGGATGTAAACCCCACTTAGAGGAGGTTCAGGCCTGCGTGCCAAGATAGGAATGGGGTTCCTATGACACTGACCGCTGCCATTTCTGAGGCCTCTGGAGACCACAACATTTTCCCCTGGGGAAGCTGAAAAGTTTTATCCATGTACCGCTTTCAACAGCATGGAAATATGTGACCTAAAACTTAACACTTCATCATTCCCAGCCTCCTATTCACATTTACTATAATTGCTGAATCCCTTTTCACTCACGATACAGCAGAGGGAATCACCAAGTGGCTAGAGGCAGAGTCTTGACATGTCTGAACTGAGAAGAAATACATGGAAAATCCCAGCAGTCTTCTTTTTCTTCCCAGTGACTGCTGCAACTGAGAAAGTGCTAATTCTTTGACTTTCAGTCTCCTGAAACCATCTGCTTTGCTTATTCATAGGAGAAGGTAAACTCCTTCTCCCTGGTATGTAGTACCAGCACCATGAAAACGTGTGAAATTCTTAGCACATCCTAAATTGCTCTTATATTTCTTGACACTGGAATTTTGAGGATCTTAAAAAACAGAGAAATAAACAGTCACTGGGTTATACTGACTTGAGTGGGTCTTCTGTCTTTGTACTGATCTACAGTACATAGTCTTCAGGAAAGAATTTAATAAGTGCAACCTAGATAAAGGGTACTCAGATAATCAAAAATGAAGTTAAGTTACATAGCTGTAAAAAATGTGTCTACATACAGGAATACATTTCGTGTTAACTTCAGATATAAAAACTTACATCCATTTACCCATTTTTCAAAAAGTAATGCCAAAATTGGAATTCTGTATGGCTCTTTCATGAAATCTTTCTATAATGAAATGCATTAAATTTCTACTTTCTGTTTTTTACAACTAAAACCAAACAATTTAAGACACAAACAACAATGTAAATTTTTAAAATCTACTAACATTTTATTATTTACCCAGTCAGAGTTCTTGCAATAATATACAATTTAAAAACATTTTAGTGTTCATTTTTATTGAGCATATCTAAATATTTGAATTATATTTTATAAAAAAGTATCTTTCCCCACTGATATTTAATGTATTCATATAGCATTATAAATCTTGTCATTATCATAACAGAACTGACAAAAACTGGTTTGGGACCAAAGACAGCGGGTCTTGGCAAGTAGCTTAATTGGCAGAGATAGTAGTTCACACTATTTAATGCTTTTTATACTCTATCTATTTTAAAGAGGAATGGAGAACACTGATTCGTGTGTTAAGTTGGTTAAAGGACAAAATAGCTAAAAATACTTCTGTAGTTGTAATTTTATAAAGTTGACCTACATTCCACATTCATCCATCTATGTTAACAAAATTATAACTGATTATTTTAATACTCACCTCTTCTTAATATGGATAATAATAAGCCTTTATTAATGAATACCATCATTAACATGACTTACTGCTTTTTAAAAAGTATATCAGAGTATATCCTGTGATTACTGGATTCATGTCTTCCAAATATTGCACAAAACCATCAGGGAGCTTGTTCTGGTGCGGATTCATGGGACTGGCTTTTGGATATTTGGTCTCAGTGTGAAACCAGGAATTATTCTGTCCTACTAGAGGTCCAGTGATTATGATTCAGTTAGACATTTTAAGAAAGACTTCCTTGAGACTCCACAGAATTACCTACCACAAGAATTGTGTTTTAAGGTTACTTCTCTGAATATTTAGCAAAATGCTGTAGTATTCGTTTTCTCTTCCTTCCCTTTTGTCCATTTTCTTTGAACGTTAGTGAAAGATACAGGATATCCAAAGTATACCAGCATTCCTTAGTCTTTGAGGATTCAAATATATAACACAATTTCAGTGCTAAAGGAGCTTACTGTCTATTCAGTAAGACAGACATGTAGATCGGGAATTGCACTGAGCATGAGGCATTACCCAGGAATACTTTCCAAGGCAACTGTGAACAACACACACCCCAATCCAGAGTGCCAGAATTTTCTTAGGGTTCTTTATTTTCCTGTCACTGGCATCGCCAATATTAAGAGTTAAGGACCACTTTTTCTCCCACAAAGAAACTATTCTGAGCACTTAACAGCCATGACTGAGATTGCCCTAAAGAGAACAAAAGAGCCATGTTGAGTCTCAGGTGCAGAGCAGCAGGCGAGCTTCATCCCCCGGCTCTCACTTGTCAGCCTTCTGCCTTCCAAACCCAAGTCAGTGTCACTGGAGCATTGTAAATGCTCTATTTCTAGATTTATTAATAGTGCTAGTGAGAATGTTAACACTAGAAAAACTAAGGGCCTAGTAGTCCACTTAAGTTATTATCTGAGAACAGTTTCACTCCTGAATGATTATATGTAAAAATTAGCAAAACCTATAGTAACAATGATAGAATAACTTGTCTGATCCTATACTGATAATACTCTTTGAATAATGCTTAATTTTTGTTTAAAACATTTCATTAATTAGTATTTTCGAAACATTTGCAAAAGTGAACTGTGATTGACATATGTTTACTGTTTAAACCTATTTCTCAGATTCCTTTAATCTGAAAACATCTCATGTACACATATTGGAGTATCAGATTTTACACTAGTAAGAATAGAAGTAATCTTTGATGGAAGAAACCAGAAGGAAGTTAATTGAGTCCATAATCTGTAGTAGTTTGTAAAAATGTGAACAAAAATATTTACTTTCAAAGAATGTTTTCTTAGTATTTAGAACACAGTCAAATACTATGTATAAAAACAGCTTCTCCCAGAGTTAACAACAACTCTCTTCTTTTACAGGGTTTTGGAAATCCCTCAGGTGAATATTGGCTGGGGAATGAATTTATTTTTGCCATTACCAGTCAGAGACAGTACACATTAAGAATTGAGTTAATGGACTGGGAAGGGAACCGAGCATATTCACAATATGACAGATTCCACATAGGAAATGAGAAGCAAAACTACAGGTAAGTTCTGTTTCCATTTAGTTCTGGAATATCTTAGGCTACTTAACAGCTTTAGTGGGGAAAGGGGTTTAAGTTTTGGAGGATGGAAAATTAGATCAGGCATATAATTGTTGATATTTCTGATGTTCATGTATCATGAATTCACACATGGTCAGATGGATGACCAGAGAACTGATCAGAGAACTGATCAAATTCAGTGGTTTGAAGTAAATATTATTCTTTCTGTTGAAAGATTTCTACTTATACTTACTTTACCTCTCTTAAATTATTTTCACATTACCTTGAATGTGGCAAAAGAAAACTATGTTTTTCACTGATTTATGTAGAGGTAAGACATTGTTTAAAATATTTTTGTAAATAATGTGAAAGACAAAAAATAAATCCTAATAACGACATTGATATATACAACACATCATTGCAGTTATAAGAATAGACCTTCTATATACTTGTTAGCAACTGTGATTTTTTTTTTTTAGTGAGCAGTTTATCCAGAGAAAAACTAAGTCTAAAGATTAATAGGGTATAGTAATTTTATGCCATTTTGTCACTTCTGTATTCCTGAAATTGAACTAGGCAGTGGTTATACAGTCAGTAATGAGATCTTTTCCCTCCTAGGCCTCACACACCAACTTTATTACTAACTAGGCCACTGAACAACTGATTGTCATTCTTGAGAGCAGAGAATATATTGCAGTCACTTTTATATCACTATCCATTAGTAATACAGGGCACATCATAAATCATCAATGAGTGTATGTAACTCAGTTTCACAACCAGTAAACAAGAATTGCAGTGATTTTAATTCTTAAGGTAATTGCTATTCTTCATTGGTCTTGGAAACATGATGGTGTGTGCTCAATGCTTGGTACACAATTTCATGCAAAATGCAATGCAGTAATAACAACGAAAGGCTTCTGTTTTTCTTCCAAATGTGTGGTTATCTTATCACTCAACTGGTTTTGCTGTTGATTTTTCTTTCTAAGCTATCTCATTCTTTAGGAGTTTGAATCTACAACTTTTTCATGAACCTATCTCATTTTATTGTAATGTATTATGTATGGGATGGGATCCTTGGAGACATAATAATCATTTTCTTGCAAACAGTGATGATGTCACCACAACAGAGGATGAGAAATAGATCTGAAGAGTAAATTGTCTCATGGCAGGGGAGTGAGGGTGTACATAATGGCAACTCAAGAAACCAAAGAAAAGACATTTATAAAATGCAATGGAGTGTAAGAAGAAATGTTTCCAAGGAGGTCAATATTTTGAGAGTTTTATAACAAGAAAAACCACTGTAAAACATCAGGGGTACTCTTATGTAAATGTTTTGACCTGAAATTTGAAACTATATGAAACTTGGCTAATGTCAGACAGCCTGACAATAGGACTAGCAAATAATTAGTCTAGTCTTTTTCTAGGCTCCTGAAGAATTTGCTTTGGTTCCTTTCCAAAATGTCTCTCAGTTCTCTGTAGACCATGTGTGTGTGTGTGTGTGTGTGTGTGTGTGTTCATGCATGCACACTCACACATCCAGTGAAACACATGCATGTGCACCCACTTGCATGAAACACACACTTACTTGCAACACTATGGCAATATTAAGGGGCCACAGAGAGTTTAGTCACATTTAGGAAGGTTGTGGGCATCTGAAATAGGCCACGGGATGTGTGGGATGAGTCAATTCTGGGATCTACATGAGAAAGGAACACCTCTAAGAATGCTCCATCACCTTTATTAGCATTTCACTTTTCTTCAAAACCTGTGTTATGCTGCTCTTCAGTCATACAGTGTGGATCTGTGATCATGGATCTAGGGTCTTCCCCGGCTGATGTAAGACATAGCAATGGAGCCCCCACTTTTCATATTTGAAACAGTTATGAACTTTGAGACTCAGAATTATAAATCCAGAAGGAGTTCATAATTTCATTCCAAATGCCTGGTTTAAAGAAGAGAAAACTGAGTTACAGAGGAAGAAAAGAATTAAAGGTGGGGTGTTTGACAACTATGAAATTTGGTATGGCTTCTGCTAGGTAAGAATGATGTGATCAAGTTAGTTGTTGGTTCTGGCCCTCTCTTCTGCCAGGACCCAGCAGAAAATACAGCTTCTTGAGTAATTATTAAGATTCACTCTGGTGTCAAATAGAAAATAGGAATTCATTAAAAATTGTAAGGGCTGTTCTAGTAAAAGTTTAGTCAAAATAAAAGTGATGTTATTCACTCTTTCAAAGAAAATCAAACAGAAGACTAATCAGGGAAGCTGCCCTTTGCAGCTTCCCTCTCCGCCGGCGTCACTGCTCACTGAGCCCAGCTCTGATTCCCCAGGCCTGGCCGGCCACACGTGGCACACAGCACATGGCACACAGCTTCCGCTCTGCCTTTGCATGTCTGCCTCCCTTCGTTCCTCTTCCCTTAGAATTATTTCTGTGAGAAAATATTCAAAGTATTCATGGTAACATTGATGAAGCATTTTATAATTCAGAAAATTATTTATTTTTATTTTTTTTATTTTTAAGATTTATTTATTTGGGCATACAGAACTGGGGTACAGGCCAGAGGCGCAGGAGCGGTGAGAGG